ATCTTTAATAAGTATACTCCTTAAACAGTGGAACTATACTAGGAGTTTAAAATAACGTAATAAGAGCGCGTAATAATTCAATTCAATCCAGAATCACGTGGAACCAAAACTGTGTCTTGGCTGTAATTTAAAGCACCCATACATAAGCACACCACCAAGCCACTTTTCTGTCTGATACGATTATTTAATGGTGGTCTCAACAAGTCGTGCCCTAAATTTAGCCCCAATGTCTTGGGTACTTTGGGGGTGGGGTGGGCTGTATATTGGTCTAGAGGGATATTTTTAAATCCATAAGATTTGCGGTCTCTGTCCTGTTATAATCTGTCATGATGGGCCATAAATGTGTGTATGAAAACAACATAAAGATCAGCCTAGACGCCGAATAAGTCAAAGCCGTCGATAACAGAGCCCCTGTTGGCGCTTTGGGATTCCGGAAGAGAGGAGCCTGGAACGAATTGGACTCGTCACCTCGGCGATTCGCTGATGCTGTAAACTGTGTTCAAATTGTGGAACTAAATGAAGTTCGTGAAAGTCAAGATCAGCCACGATGACTGGTTTTACTGAGTAGAAAGACCAACGATCCTGTTGTGCCACAGTCAGAAGAATCTGTGGGAGATAGGCACTGAAAATCGAGCTAGGAAATACGAACATGTAACACGGTTGAAGGGATCACGATGGATTGTTAGAGTGAGAGATTTTGTGTTTTTTGGGGGCACTGTAAATATTTTAAAGCGTGGTATGTTTAAAGTATGCGTACTTGACCTCATAATAAATCCATTAACAGTGGCATCGTTTTACTCTTAAACAGCTGTCCCTCTGTGTTGCAAACTACTGCATTGAGCTTGAAGGTTTGAACAGAATTTTACAATTGAGCAGACGCGGGAGTCTTCCTGGAACCAATGAAAGATAAAGTTGTTCATGAGAGCTCACAAAGCGATGAAAATAATGAGGCGTTAAATCGTTCCTCTGCATCAGCTATTCCTCCATTCAATATACCCGGTAAGTTAGAGAAATATTCAATAAAATATCAACTACTACTGCCACCACAAGCATCCAAGCAGTAACTGCTACACTCAGCTGTTTGTTTGTGTTGGAAATTTTGTAAACAACGTTTTGTTTGTTTAAGTTGCCCATTACCCAGGTTATATAGCTCAAGCTGTGAATTATGATGATCTTATTGCTTCATGTAGGTAATTTATACCATTGCCATCGTTTACAAATACTGTTTTAGTAGTTACAGTTACAGGTCAAAGTACTAAGTGAACAGATTTCAAAATTCCTGAACTGCTTGTACCTATAATTTGATCGCTGTATCTGAACACCCACAATTTTCTGTACTTGCATGTCAGTTAGTATAGGCACTTGGTTTGTTTCGCTGGTGGATTATATATTTACTGACTTTCCAACTTGGTAAAATGTTCTTTCTGCAATTAATGTGACACGTTTTGTATCCTTACTGTAATTTTGTATATATTGACCTTGCATGGTGCAGGGTCAACTTTTCTTACTTAGGCAGCGGTCGCACTAACAGGATCGATGTTTACATTGGACATAAATTCCATCATCACATGTTCGCCACATGATTGTGTAACCCTTATGTCGCGATCAGACATGAGGGTCTCGCAAATGACTCACAGCATATCATATATCTTTTAGGTCACAGTCTTGCGACCCCAGTAACCCTCTGGGGGTAAATGCTCCGACAAACTTGTGTGAGAATTCAGGAGGCAACAAAAATAAAAAAAGTCAACAGTGCAAGCCATGCCTTGATATTCTTTGTCCCCTGTGGGACATCAGGCAACAACAATATCTCCATTTAGCTCTGTGTTGCACTGCATGTTGTGCCTACCTTACATGTAGCCAGGAGTGGGAAGGACTGGGTTACATCTACACACAGACAGTTGTGCCTTGTCCCAATTAAATTTTACCTTACTGAGCTGGGCTGTGACAGTTTCATGCCAGATAATTTTTGTGAGCTGGCCAGGTTTCCTTCTGCAAGCTGATGTCCAAAGCAGGGCAACCTTAGTGATATAAGCCTGATCTGTTCTTAAGTATGTGGCCCACCCATCAGATTCATCTACAGGTGTTTGATTTTCATTCCAATGCTTTGGTAATCAATCTTTCTGTAAAGGTCCCTATTCAGGATCTTGTTTGGCTAGAAGATATGCAGTTTTTTTTTAGAGACACCCCATTCTGGAAGGACATAATTAAAAATTAAAAAACCTTTTTTGTATTTCATAATTTTTCTCACTGTGACTTGAATGTTTTTCTGACAGACTTGAAGCTATTTGAGAAGGAATCTCGAACAACACAGCTTGTTTTTAGCTACCAAGGAGGGAAAAAGGTCAGTTATGAATTTAAAAAGATTAATTTGGTAAGCAGTTTTTGCTGGATTAATGTTGCAGTTCCTAGAGAGTTATGTTCAAATGTTTGTAGTAGATGAATGCAAAAACCACACAGTAATAAATGGCGTAAAGAGAGTTTGTTATTTAGGGTTTGTCGAGTCTTAGAACTGGCCAAGACCAAAAGTTACATCACATTTGTTGCCAGGTAATAATAATATCAAAAGAATGTGTCATCTCAGATGGCAACCCCAACCTTGTTCCCAGGATTTCTCTATCTCTTTGTCCCCAAGAGCTCTTGGGGGTGGGGAGAGAGAGAGAGAGAGAGAGAGAGAGAGAGAGAGAGACCCTGGGAATGAGGTTGATGGCAACCCCTCAAGATTGGGAAATCTCATTGAATTTTGGACCTGAGGGTTTACCACTGAAAGCTGCAGACATTTTAAATAAAAATATGATGGCACCCCTGCTTAATTTAACTGTTGTAAGTTAAAATTCTAAAAATTAATCTGTAACATTCATTTTAATTGTTATAAATAATTTATATTTTAGGTTCCAAAGCTTAGAGAGCCTAGAAATTTGTATGCATTTTCTAAAGATAAAGGGCAGCAGTCTTCACCAAGATGGTAAGGGAATGTGTTGTTAGCATGGCCTTTGCATAAGTGTTTTGAGAGTACAAATTTTGACAATCTTAATTAATGAGTTAATTAAAAAAATATATTAACTACAGCTTTAGAGAAGTGGCAATCTGTAATCAGACATGTGAAATATTATAACTTACAAAAAAAAAATAATTTAATAAAATTAAATCATTTTTAGACTTTGATCAAAGTTAGCACATACTGTTCTTTGACGAAGTAATGTCTTGGTCTGTACTTCCTTAGGCCATCTCAGATGAAGATTTTGCCGACACGACCCCTACACATACAGTACATACCAAGAAATCCAGAACCATTTGTTAAGCCAGGTATGAGCTTCTCTAAATTTAACAACTAAAACTACGTGCATATGGTTCCCTGGCTTGTCTTCCAAGGACTTCTACATGTACTGTTGTCTTTCCAGCCCTATAAATATAGGGCCTGACAGCCAAAAGTACATGTAGAAGTACTGTAGCTACTGTAGTACTGTAGTTACAGTAACAAGTACTTATTTGTTTTTGAGAAATCTCAAGTGCTATTTTCTTGAGTTGTAATGATCTTATGTTCATGTTTGTGACATGAAGTAACATCAAATTACACAAGCTTTGTTTTTAACCTTAACTTTGTCTATTATTTTCAGAGAAAACATTAGATGAATTGAGTCTTACAAAGCTACCTTGCGAAGAAGGAAAAATTGTTTTTAACAATGAACCAGGTCCAGAGAAATATGTAAGTCAATGGCACTAGTCTAACTGAAGTCACTCTAACTAAAGTCATTATAATGAATTCATTCAAAAGTGTGCAGCAGTTACTGTGTCTTTGAAACCTCATTACTGGTAGTCATTTGTGAATAGCCTTGATGTAACCACATGATTTTTGCTTTTTCTTTCATTCTTTCAGTAATATATGATTTAATTTAATATCTTTCTCTCTTTTTTTTGTCAGTTTCTCAGGTCACGTGTTGGTGGCAGTCAAATTTCCAACAAACCTTTTTACAAGCTAGCCTCTCCTGATGATGCTACTCTGCTTTTTGAGTCTCGTTTTGAATGTGGAAATCTTTTGAGGGCCATAAAAGTGTAAGTAATAGTTAAAATGATTTTCTTGGTCCATACCAAAATAATTAGTTCTACAGCAACATAGTAGAAACCCACCATACGATATTGCAAATCCTCAAATATGCATGCCTACTTCAATGTTTCATACATTGTTGACCATTTGTTGATAGATCTCATTAGGATAATATGCCCTTTGAAAAATATTAGGTTAGACCAAGTTATATTTGACTTAAAATACTGCAGCTGTACCTCATTTACTAAATATTCAAACAAAAAAAACACTCTAGGTTGTTGTCTAGGTGATAAATATCTTGTGAGTTACATGTAATTGAATCTATGGAGGGTCCAACATAGGCTTTTTCAATCCCGCATCCTATCACTGTTTTTGGCTTAATCGTGTCATCCCACCCCAGTCAGAATGTTTATTCCGATCCTGCCTGGTTTAATTGGCAGTTCTTTGTGTAACGTCTGTAACGTGTGATTTTCCGTTTTTTATCCCCCATACCGCTGTCAATTTTAAAACTATCCCATATTTTGTTTGTCAAAATCAACAAATTCGTTTCCCACGGAAATATTTTTATCCTGCATCCCGCAATTAAAAGTCCTGTCATTCTGTAACCTGCCTTCATTTTTGCTCTCATCCCCTATCCCGCCAAATCTATGTTGGGCCCTCTTTATATCATACTCTAAGTACTTGGTATATTATTTTGTGACTCTGATCTCCTTTCAACCCTTAGTAATGACACTGAATACCAGTTATGGCTGAGAAATGATTTGTATACAAACAAACACACACAGTGGTATTACTTCAGCGTGCAAAATACAAGACCCGCTGTCAAGTATAAGTTTACCATCATGAATCTCCTCAAAGTAAGAGATTGAAATAACTTAGTTCTTAGCATTTCTACTATCGCCTAGCAACATATGGGCATG